CCCTTTCACACACACGCACACACACGCACGCACACGCACACACACACACACACACACACACACACACACACACACACACACAGAGTTCTGCCTTCCTTTGTGCTAGTGCAGAGCAGCACTCCAGCACTTCTCGGGATAGCAAGGGAGAATGAATGACCGAGCTGAGGCAGGGTGGCGTGTGTGTGTACTGTTGACTTGCTGGAGCTGCCCTCAGTGGTGTCCTCAGACGGCTGAGATTTTTCGATCTATGCTGCCAGATTTTATTGTGTCCAATGTTTGCCTTGACCTGGTAAGTCTTGGATGCTTCCGGAATCAGATTCTCGACTTCCGGAGGCTTCTTTGACTCTTGAACTACTGTGCCCGGTATGGCGTGACTGTTCACTTTCCTAGGGCCCCTAGAGTCTGATGGACATCCGTTAAAATTGGAACGATACAGAGAAGATTAGCATGGCCCCTGCGCAAGGATGACAAAAAAAAAAGAGTCGGATGCTGTTGTCAGTACCATTAGGTCAGCTGCCAATAGCAGGATGGCAGTAAGTGTTATATTGTGTTGTTGGTGTCCAGGGTCTGCTATTCAGCCCTTCTGTTTTTTCTTTTGTCCCCCCCCAACCTTTTCCCCCTGTGATCAGCCTTTCTATGGATGGGTCCTTCCTAAGAAAGAATTCTGTTGCCTTCACTGTGCATATGAAGAGAGGTGCTGCCAAGGGATCTCCTTGTCTGACGGATCTGGCCATTTTGTATGGGTTAATCCATTAACGTGCACTTGTCAGTGGGCATCACTGTAGAGGATCCTTCCCCATGATTATTTATGATTACCAGCGAGGCTACCAGCCAGGCCCGCCCGGGTCACCTTGATTGCCCGGATGGCCCAGCCAAGCAAGGGGCAGGGAAGGTCACGGACAGAAGAAAAAGAAAAAGAAAAAAGATCTGAAAGAAAAAGACAATGTTATGCAGAAAAATGAACTGCCAATGTTTTGCCTCATGGTCAAATCGAAATACTTCACCGATTTAGTGGTCACGGGCCACGCTGGTAGTCCAGATTCCCAGATGCATGGATGGCCATGCAGACGGTGGTCTGGTGCCGGTTGCCTCAATGGATGTGGAATTTCTACACACTCGCCTCCCAAACTTCTTTGTGAATGGCATTAGGAGAACCTGGACACCAGGCCAGTGTGCTGCTCACCTGGACACCTGGCCACTGTGCTCCTCAATTACTTCCCTTGTTCTATCAGAGAGATGGACTCTCTCTCTCTCTCTCTGTCTCTCTCTCTCTCTCTCTCTCTCTCTCTCTCTCTCTCTCTCTCTCTCTCTCTTATGTGTGTGTGTGTGTGTGTGTGTGTGCGTCTGTTTNTCTCTCTCTCTCTCTCTAATGTGTGTGTGTGTGTGTGTGTGTGTGCGTCTGTTTGGCTGTGTACAAGTACATAAAATATTTCCTTGATTAGTGCTAGCATATAATTCATTAATGTGATTTACTAGGAGAAGGTTTATGACTATAGCCATCGGGAAATCCTCTGAAGAGCCGAAAGGCATATTTGATACAATGGATTATTGGTTAAGAAGAGACTGTTTTGTTTTTGTTTGTGTGTGTGTGCGTAAGTTTGGCTGTGTGTGGCTGTGTGTGCTTTAGCTTCTGCTCCCACTAATGATTCTCCTTGATCTTGTTTGTGTTGGTATCATCATAATAACAGGGAGGCTTCCTGAACCAGGCTGGTCTTAAGGTGCCAAGGGAGTCAGCTCCTATAGAAAGCTTCATGGAAGAACTTCAAAAGGGTTACCGAGTCGCACTGAGTGTAAGTTGTGTTGGTCACATCGCTGGTCTCTCTCCAGTTTTTCAAATCGCACTAAATGCAAGTTGTGTTGCTTATCATCAGTTCTCCCTCTGCCATTTAACCACCAGTACTTTCGAGCCTCTTGTTGCTGAGGCTCGAAACGCCCTTTGAACCAGCGCGGGCCTCCTTTTGGCCGGGAATCGCCAGCCATTTTGCTCCGGCAGCCAACTCCCAAAGGTCGTCGCTCTCTGCTTTTTCAAATCGTGCTAAATGCAAGTTGTGTTGCTTATCATCAGTTCTCTCTCTGCCATTTAAACCACCAGTAGGCTCGAAACGCCCTGTGAACCAAACGAGGGCCTCCTTTTGGCCGTGAATCGCCAGCCATTTTGCTCGGGCAGCCAACTCCCAAAGGTTGCGGCGTGCATGCAGCTGCGTTGGAGAAAAATGGCTGGGAAATGTACTGGTGGTTTGAGGTTCGGCATTTGCTAGAGTATGATCTGGCTATCGTGGAGACCATAGCCGAAATCCCACACAGTGTCTTGGCAGTCCATAGAGTCCCAGCCGAGCTGCTCGCGGCGTCCTTGGCCTCGATCCTCCACGAGAACACCTTGGGGATGGATGAAGATTTAGAATCCCTTGCAGCAAGCATGCTTCGTTTTGACGGCGGTTATTAAATCAGTAATGAAGTGGGGCTCAAGCTTCTTCCATCTCATCAGGATGGGATAAAAGACGCGTGGGATGAAGCTGTGAATTGCTACTGAATGAGTTTTGATGGTTGTGATGCTGCAAACAGCCCATCTATCTGGCCCTCTCGCAAACAACAGCCTGAATATTGAGAAGATTCACCAAAGATTGAAACGGTGGGTGGGAAACAGGCACTCGCGTCTGCAGTTTGGTGACCACCTCTTCGCTTGTGTTCGGATATATTCGACATTCAGCGAGGTCGGAATTGGGCTCGTCACACAAGCGGTGGGGTAGTTAAACCGCCAGTCCCCCCGCCAGCCGAAACCCCTCGGCCCGGTGAGCTAGGGCCGGGTTGTACGGAGGGGCGGCGACCACCGTTCGTCACAGGTGGCAACTTTGCCGATTTTTTGTGCTCAGAAGAGTACATCAAAATGTCTGAAAATTTGAGGGTCCGTAGATTAGGTCGTGATCTTTCAAGGAAAAATATCAGGAAAAAACAATAAAATCATTTTGACCGTGAAATATTTGCTGCACTGATTCGGTGCATTTCCATTTTCTGCCGCAAATTCCATTTTTGAGGAGGGACCTACAAATCCAAATATCAAGAAGATTCACCAAAGATCGAAACGGTGGGTGGGAAACAGGCACTCGAGTCTGCAGTTTGGTGACCACCTCTTCGCTTGTTCAGATATATACGACATTCAGCGAGGGAAGGAATGGGCTCGTCGCACAAGTGGTGGGGTAGTTAAGAAGGGGCCTACAAATCCGAAACACCTATGACAGACCACAACAAAAGAATTTGTCGCAGGCGTCAAAGCAAAACAGCACACGACAGGGGTACCGTCTTCACCTGAATAGAATGCCCAGTCGCTATAGCTGTATTGGGGGTATCTTTCGGACCAGATGGAGCGATAATGACCGGGTGTTCTATATGCGGGTGAAGTCGGTAGCACTATACTATAGCGCTTGAATTAACTCCAAAACCCGTCAAAGAACCCATGCAGAGGCCAAAGCAATTCTAAGGGTAGACAAAGAACTTCTGTGAGGAACAATATAAATGCAAAACTTAGGCTACCAGCCAGGCCGTCCGGGTCCCGGGTGCCCAGCCCGTGCAAGGACCAGGGAAGGTCCCAGCAAAAAAAAAGAAAAAGAAAAAGAACTCCAAAAAATCCGGAAAAAAACTATGTTATGCAGAAAAATAAACTGAACACCTTTTGCCTCAGGGTCACATCGAAATTCTTCACCAAATGTAGAATAAAAAATAAAATATATATATATTTTATTTTTATTTTTGTTTTTTTTTAAGAGTTTTGGCCCAGCCGGGCAGGTGACCCCGGGCCACTCTGGTAGCCTTGTGCAAAACACCAAAACCGACTCCGTCACAACATAAGTTGGGCACGTGAGGATGGGTTGGGAGGGGCCCCCCCCCTGGCAGGACGACAACCATTGGCTGCCCGCTGCTACCAATCACCGTGTGTCTGGTCACTGGCCTCTACAACACACTTCGGCTTTTTTTTTTTTTTTTTTTTTTTGACATAAATTAGCAAGAGAAAAAGTGCTGCAATTCCCACAGTCGTCCCCCAAATAGAACGCAAGATCGTTACGTATGTGTTTGGCCCAACTGTCAGTCCAGAGGCATCGAAAATGACGGTATGTTCTATTCAGGAGAAGAAGGCAGACCATGCCATCACTGAAGAACAAGGAAAGGTTCTGGAGAAACCCATATCTGAAGGGACTTCAGGACACAAATATTATAGCAACAAGAGAGTTAGGTGAAAGTTATGGCCATTGCCGGGGAGCAGTACCTCCTTAATTTCTATAACGGTAGCTGGGATAGATGTGGGCTAGGCGGGTGTGCTTCAGCACAAGTCTAGTGGGTCAGGTCTCTGTACAACGATGCTACTGACTGTGCCCAAGTTAATGGTCTGCTGTCGGACGGTTATCTGAAATCAAGATCGGTCCATTGAGGAGACCCCTTCTCAACCGATATTCATTTGTGTAATGGAAGGAACAAAGCTTTGTTCTTCAGGGAAGACCCCTCGATGCATAGACTGCCAGACATCAATGCAGATAAAGGCCATCACATCACCTTTCCCACGACGATGGTGTTCGCAGATGGCCTCACAACAACGCTGATTATGCTGATTAGAGCTTCGGACTCCTCCTTCCATGCTCTAGCCAGCGCGACGGAAGCTTTCGGACAGTGCTCAGGAATGAAGTTATCGCTGTCGGCATATGATCGGCTGGTGTTCCGTTTGGTCGGGGGAACGTTTGAGGCAGCCAGCAAGCATCAAGGAATTGTAGGTCTGTTGTTTCTCTACTTCTGCTTTGCTGCAATGATGGAGCGAAGGAATTGTCGAGTTACTGGTGTCGAGTTACTGGTGTCAAAGGAATTATCGAGTCGAGTTACTGGTGTCGAGTTACTGGTGTCAAAGGAATTATCGAGTCGAGTTACTTGTGTCAAAGGAATTATCTAATCGAGTTACGGGTGTCAAAGGAGTTATCGAGTCGAGTTACTGGTGTCAAAGGAATTATCGAGTCGAGTTACTGGTGTTGAGTTACTGGTGTCGAGTTACCGGTGTCAAAGGAATTATCGAGTCGAGTTACTGGTGTCGAAGGAGTTATCGAGTCGAGTTACTGGTGTCGATTTACTGGTGTCAAAGGAATTATCGAGTCGAGTTACTGGTGTCAAAGGAATTGTCGAGTTAGTGGTGTCGAGTTATGGGTGCTGCTGAGGACGTTGTGGTAAAGCATATGCCAAAATGGAATCTAACTGTGCCTGCTGGTGGTGGTGGTTGCCGTGGGTATTTTGCCGTCGATCTTTGCAGTTCGTCATCCAAAGCCCACTGGGAATGTCCATTTGCGGCGTTCTCGTCGCTTTGTTTGCCTATGCCGTCACACGGAGCATTCTCGGTTTGGATGTCAAACAAACGAAAGTGAGGCGTGGACTTCGGCCAAAGCATGGGCCGATCCGGCGAAAGGCAAGAGCAAGCTGAGGATCTCCAGTATTTGGGTTGGTATGTAGGGAAACTTTCATATTCCTCCAGAGTCCAAACGGGCTTTGGAAGTTTGGAGGAAACAAGGTGGCACTTGTGCAAAAGACGGCTGTCTGAGGAGTCTGCGGTCCTCTGTAGGCCTCGCCATCAATGATCAAAGCAGGTGCACATAATGAGGCCATTGATGAGAGAGCCTCGCCTATTAGTGTTGTTTGTGTTGCCCCCTCCTTATGCAGGCAGGGTTTGCGCATTGCTTGCTCAAGAGGGAGGGAGGGAGGGAGGGAGGGAGGGAGGGAGGGAGGTTTTTGTTTGCCTCCCTACAATCCTCCCTACAAAACCCCTGCCTTTTGTTTCATGTCATCATCAAGATGGGTGAGTGAGGATTCTGTTTTTTTCTTTTCCTTTTCAGACTAGATTTGTCAATGATATGGCACAGCTGCTGCTGTCCATGTTCCATTAGGGGTGATTGTGTTCTGAAATTGCACAAGGTTGGATTTGCTTCTTGTACTCTCAGGCACAGTGTGTTGTTGACGATCCCCACATCAAGGCAAGGTGGGAGTTTGCCATGCAAGCTGGTGGATCCAAGCAGTAGATGAATGGGGTAGGAGGGAGAGAGAGTTGGGTTTCTGCAACGGCTGGGAGCAGAGTTCAAACAGAGAGGGAGGGGCGGGAGGGGCGGGAGGGGAATGGGGTAGTTTGTGGTCCATGATTACCGTCCGGGACACGTGTTGAAAGTCTTTGTACGCTGGTGGAGCCAAGCCATGGAGGAAGAGGGAGGGAGGGAGGGAGTGGAAGGGAGGGGTATGCACACCACCCTTAGAGAGAGCTGGGTGTCTGCAATGGCTGGGAGCAGAGTTGGAGGGAAGGGAATGGGGTAGTTGGTGGTTCATTGTTGCCGTTGGGGACACGTGTTGAAAGTCGTTGTTGTCAACGCAAAAAGATGCGGCGTTCGGCTGCCGAATTGTCTTCATGCTGACAGTCATTCCTGTTACGCTGACTGTCATGCGAATGAATGCCTAGTTGTGAACAGTCTGTAGAAAGATCTGTACGAGTGAGCAGAACAATCGCAGAATTCTGTTTCGTCACGTTCTGACGCCGACGAGGTTTTCCTCACAGTGTGGTTGCAGAGGTTCCCCCGTTTTCTGTTTCGAGTCAAATAGTTTGTGTTGCGTGCGTAACTTGTGTTCCAAAAAGTTACTCGGTTCTGCTGCCAAAGCGGACAGTCGACGTTCTTTGGTAGACGTTTGTTCTCCGGTTGCCGTGGACATGGTCGTTCTGTTGTGTGTTAGCTTTCCGCAACAATTCTCCGCATGGCGATCACCTCTTTCGATAGCAATGTGATTTGAATCGCTGTCGTTTCTGCTGCGGCCATTTCCCTGTTTATAACGAGAACGGTGCTGCTGTGGCCATTTCCCTGTTTATAACGAGTACGGTGCTGTACAGGAGGGAAGACCTCTCTGAACGAATAAACCTGCATATCGGGGGATTACCAACATGGAAGTGGAAGTCGATGTTCAGACAGTTCAGGTCTATTCATGTCAGGGTCGAGGTCATCCCAAAGCTCGCAAGGGAGTCTGTGGTGTGTATGATGTACTAGAATAGCCATGTTGTAGAATGGTCTTTCCTGAAGTTTTTATACAGTGGTGTGTATGGTCCAGAATAGCAGTGTACTACAGGTAGTCCTATGATGCATATGTACTAGAATAGCTATGCACCTGTGCTATATCCGATGCTGTATATGTCTTGGAATAGCTGTGTACTAGAATGAATGTCTTTGCAGGTCAGTGTGAATCCATGTACATTTGTGTGGATGTCTTTGCGTGTACTAGAATAGCTATTTGCATGTGCTATACCCGATGGTGTATATGTTCTGCAATAGCTGTGTACTTGAAGGGATGTCTTTGCAGTTCAGTGCGCCCTTGTGGATATGAAATACATGTGAAATCTACAAAATGCATATGGGGAGAGATGAAATGCATATGAAATACATGTGAAATCTACAAAATGAAATTGAAAATTCAAAATTGTACTCAGTCGACCGAAATCTATGTAATGGGCTCCTTCGGCGGGTCACGGTTTGGACTGCTATGTTTAAGTGATGTGCTCAATATGGGGGGTAGTGTTTCGATGTGGGGTGTGTGGATGTGTGTGGGTAGCGTTGTGTGAGATATATGTCCAAGCATGTGTGTAACCAAACAGAGTTGAGCGGTCAGGGGAGCGCTACCCTGGGGTTCGCATCATGTTTTCCACTCGTTAAACTGCCAGTACATCATGCAGGCAAATTTGAGGAGCGAAGTCGAGCCAGTGCGAGAATTTTGGAGGGTCTTCTCAACCAGACCAACTTGGGTGGCAGCATTAGCCAAGAGAAATGAAAAAGCGCTTTTGTTCCCGGGGGGAATCGGCTACAAAGACGCACGTGGCTGCATGTCTGCAACATTTGGCGCTCGGGGGGAATCCGCCTCGGCGAAGAGAGGCTCGTATGTATATCGGTGGTCTATAAGCCAGCATTGGTCCTGGCCCGCCCAACCAGAAAGGTGGGGGGCGGGGGGCAAGCGGATCACTGTGACGCTGATCGATATATGCATTTGGTTCATGCACCAGGTGCATGGCATAATTTCAAAGGCGCGAAGCTGCCACGTGCGTCCTTGTAGCGCCCACTTTTGATAAATCCAAGCTGCCCTGAATACCTCAGGGAAAACACCAATCCAAACAACGCAAAGGGAATTCGGAGAATAAGGATTGGAGGTGAAACAGGAGCGCCAAATGACATCCTTATCCTTTTTTGTGGCAACGCACTGCTTGGGAATTGCCCCCAAATACCCACCTGCGAGGGTTTGATTATTATCTCAGACTCTAAATAATAGTATTTTTGTATCTATTACTTTTTCTAAAAAAATTGAGTACAGCTGTCTTTTTCTTACATGGGGGATAAGCTGCACAAGATTACTTTTTTGCATGGGCATTTTGTTTTTCCGAACTGTACATCCCTGATGTTTCTTGGGGTGTTTGTCAATGGAAGTGGAATAAACGATCGCTGAAGCGGGGACACTCGAACTCCTTGACACCGGACCGGTACACCAAAAGCACGGGTTGTTACGCTTTAACTACCGTTGAGTTTTGGAGGGCAGGTACTGGCATTGGCGCCTTAAACCACCAGAACTACCTGCCACCGATATTTTGAAAAACCGGCAGTCGATGTCAGAGTGCGGCACGCTGAATCGAACGGATGGGCTCTGAATCACATTTGGACAGACTCCAAATGTGATTCACCAAGAGTTTGTTGTGATGCAGAACCAAGCTTGGTTTTAACCTTAGGCTTGGATCTTCAGCAGTAGAGCAGTTCTTGGGACAAGGATGGTGTGGTGACCGACTGAACACAAAGTCTGTTATCGGTAGAATGTACTAGATACGATTTCACGTTGGCTTACTTTTGGTACCAGTACAAACCGATTACGTCGGGGTCCAAGGGCCTGATCCCACTTCTTATAGGCGAGGCACTATTGGTAAATGTTGGGATCCCACCTCTTTCCGCAGGAGCCGGAGGTGGCCCTGTTCTGTCGAAGAAGTGGAAACAGCCCAGTACGTGGCAGTGCGAGCGTGTGATTCGAGGACCGGTAGTTCTTTCAAAAATCGGAAGATGCCACCCCCATACCCTGCACTGTGAAAGGTGGTGCCTTTGTTTTTTACTTCCTTTTTTTTTGTTTCCTGATGTGCAGGCCGTTGGATCCTCGAGGCGCCACAAGATAAGTGCTGCTCCGTTAGGAAAAGTCCCTCAGAAGCAGGGCATGTGGCGTCACGTTTTTCTTTCATGTTCCGTGCGCTGCGCCTCCACCTTTCGCGGCACTTTTACGGTCTTATGAAAACGGAAAGAAGTGGGATCAGTCCCTAATTGTAAGAACCAGGAATGGCACAGGGCCAGAAGTCTGCGGTATCATGACAGAGTAGAAGTGTGTTGAGCGAAAAGGTGGGCAGTGGATGATGTGCTGAATTCCTGTCGTACCATTACTCGTCCGAATCGTCTTCATAAGATTGTCTCGTTTGAGAGCGAATGTCCCCCGAAAACCACCGCCCTTAAAACTGTCCCTTCCCCCGACATGAAAAACCCTGGGGGACCGGTAGCACAATTTCATGAGGGCTACTGGTAGCATGGTGTGGAGAACCGGCTGAATGGCAAAAATGGGAAATGCATAGAATCACCGCCGCGATTGATTTCGCGGTTCAATTTTTTTTTTTTTTTTTTTTNTTTTTTTTTTTTTTTTTTTTTTTTACATATGTTTCCTGGAAAGATCACAAGGAAATCTACAGGCCCTTTAACTTTTGGAGGTTTTCGCGCATTCTTCTGAGCGTGAAAACTCACTGACTTGGCCCAGACATGGTAGAGTGGCAGAAATAGAAATTTAGCTGAATCGGCACAGCGATTAGTTTGCAGTCAAAATTATTTTATTTATTTTTTTCATTTTTCTGATATTTTTCGTGGAAAGGTCACAACCTGATCGACTAGCTATCAAATTTTCAGGTTTTTTTTGTGCATTTTCCTGAGTGTGGGAATTCGCCCAAGTTGTCGCTTTCAAATTGCAAGGCTGGACCCCGCCTTTTCACTCCACGGTGGCCGCCGTGCCGGAAAACCCGCCCCTAACTCGACAGAAACCGAGGTTTTCTGCGGCGGGCGGAGGGGTGGTGTAAACCACTAGCACTTGGCAAGTGGGAAAATAGCAAGCCTCGGGTGGGCCTCCGACCTTTTAGGAGGCCGAAACAAATTGACGCCACCGATGAGATTTATCAATGGCAGCCGTCGCCGGGCCTGGCCTCTGAACTCTTTGGCAACAAGCCCTTGTCCCTAATATTTCCCAACGCTAGTGGAGGTACAAGTGCCTTTAGAGAATTGTTCACCCTACTGTCTTTCTGCAAACATAACGCCGTTAATTAAACGCACCCTAAAATGCATGTACACATTCTGCAAACATAACGCAGTTAATTAAACGCACCCTAAAATGAATCTACACAAGGTATGTTTCGGCTCAATACAGGCAAAATGAGGGTGCGTTGTGTTCGGGGGAAGATAGTAGTGCCTACCACAGTCTTCCCCCAAATACAACTTACGGTCATTATAGCTGAATTTAGACTGAAAGATAGCCCAAATTCAGCTATAATGACCATGCATTGTACTCGGGGGAAGACTGTAGTAAGAGGGTTCCTTTTTAGCTGAATTTAGACTGAAAGATGTCCCAAATTCAGCTATTATGACCGTGCGTTGTATTCGGGGGAAGACTGTAGTAAGAGGTTTCCTTTTTCCAAAATATTGGCTACACTGAGACCAAAATGGCTGTTGCAAAGAATTAGATGTGCTAGCATTTGGCATTTGCGTCATACGGGAGGAAAAAGGCATCAGGGAGCGGTCGATCGGGAAACAATGACACGATGGCATATTGATCGGTCTGCGAAGGTTTTGAAACTGCCAGGACAGTGCCCCAGCCTTGGTAAAAGAAACTCGTTGCCTGGTCTGAAAAGTGGGTGCTGATGTGCTGTTGATAAACAAAAAAAAATATCAGCAGCCGGTGTCGTGTTTTGACTTCCCAAAGGGGGCCATGGCCGAGATACGGCGTGAACATTAGGCTTGGTTTAAGCACTTGTTAGTCACGGAATGTACCGCGGATTTGGTCAAAGCGAAGCGAGAAATGTATGAAATATCAAAATGTCAATTGAAAGCATAGCAGTTGACGCCTAATGTTTTTGCAAACGATCTCAGCAGCAGGTGAAGGTGCAATGATACACTTGCCTGGCACGTTTCTATTGTCATATGCCCATCCGCAGGCAGCAATCTCTCTCTCTCTCTCTCTCTCTCTCTCTCTCTCTCTCTCTCTCTCTCTCTCTCTCTCTCTCTCTCTCTCTCAGCTCGTGATGTCAGAGCGCCTACTTTTGCTTTTTTCAACACACACGCTGACTTCGTGGACATATCGTAAAATTTGCGACCAAGGGTCATATGGCCAGAATTATTAGGGAAGAAGTTGCACAGGGCCCGGTAGGGGCATATTATGCAAAAGATACCTGGTCCAATCAGCGGGGTAGTTTTCAAAGTGGCGAGGACATTTCGTGATACCCATGTGTGTTCAAGGTATGTGACCAAATACGCGAGCTTTCAGGGGCACTTCATCAATTTTCCCAAAATTTCAAAGAGATGACGTAAGAAAGTTTTTGTCTGCATCCCTTTCCCTGTGGTCGCCACCATCACCAGCCTCATTTTGTTCTACGTATGACTTTCTCAGAGGGATGGAGGAGGAAGGGATCGCATACACGAGGGGGAGAAGTGGGGAGGTGAAGGGGAGCAGAGAGAGGAGGAGGAGAAGGAGGAGGAGGAGGAAGGGTTTGCATACATGGCACCTTTGGGAGGCCATGATCATTATCATCGCAATCATTAGGAGGCCAAATATCCATTACCAAGCAAACGAAAAAAGAAACAGCTCAAAGCGCAGACACTTCATGTCTAATGCCACACATTGAAATGGCCGCCAAAGGATGCATCACGCCTCGCCATCACCATTCATTGCGGAAAAGCGGTCTGAATGCACTGCTTCTTTGCAGACAGAGGGTCTTTGACATTTGCCGCTTCTTTGCCGCTAAATTGTACACAGTTTTCCGAAGCTTGGTCCAGATTCCCAAAGCCATGCACAATGCACATTATTCCTGACTGGGCTACCTGCTTTTTTATTTATAGCTTGAGAAAAAACTTGTCATCAATGCGAAAGAATAGCATTGCAGATAGAGGGTCATCAATGCGACGGACGA